CGGGTTCGATCTCTGGTTAGGGCATGTACAGGAGGCAAATGATTGATGTTTCTCTCTCACAGTAATGTCTCTCTCTCTCACACTCCCTCTTCCTCTCTCTCTAAAACTCAATAAGCATATCATCTGGTGAGGATAAAAAAAAAAATCAAAGTTGCTAAAAACCTCACATCAAAACACCCAGGTTTAGAGTGGCTTCACTGGTGAATTCTATAAATATTTAAGGAAGGTATAATATAAATTCTACACAAACTCTTTTGGAAAAAAATCAAAATACTTACCAACTCATTCTAAGGTCAGTATTACCCTAATACCCAAACCAGACATACAAGAAAATAAAAAGATAGACCAATAGTCCTCTTGGAAATTGACATAATTTTTTTTTTTAATATGTTCTTATTGATTTTTTAGAGAGAGAGGAAGGGAGAAAGAGATAAGACACATTAACTGGAGAGAGAAACATTGGGTGGCTGCCTTCTGCACCACGCCCCCAACGGGGGATTGAGCCTGCCACCTGGCATGTGCCCTGACCAGAAATTGAACTGGGACCTCTCAGTCCACGGGATGACGCTCAATCCACTGAGCCACACCGGCCAGGAAGAAATTTAAAACACAATTTTAGTGAACTGAATCCAACAATATAGAAAAAGGATAATAAAAACATCAGAACCAAGTGGGGTTTATCTCAGGCATGAAAGTTGGTTTAACATTTGAAAATCAATGTAATTACCATATACCAAACTAAAAAACAAAACCTATACAATCATCTTATTAGATATAGATGCAGCATTTAATGAAATCCAACATTTATTCCTAATTCTTGGCTAAGTTCCAAAAATATATTTTCTAAAGGCATTCTTGCCTCCTACGATCTGGCTTCTATTCCACCATTCCACTAAATCTGCCTTTGCTATATTCACCAGGGTCTATTTCTGAGACAAAATCTATAGCATGGTCATTAAAAGTATGGACTCCGGATCTAGACAGCTTGGGTTCAACTCCCAGCTCCAACTCTTATTAACTATGTGACCTTGAACAGTTTTAACTTTTCCATGCCTCACTTTTCCTATCTACAAAAAGGGGATAACATAACTTCCCTTATAGGGTATTCTGAAGAGTAAATGAGTATATATATATCTGGAACACTTGAAAATGCCTGGCATACAGTAAGACCTATGTAAGTGTTAGCTATTATTATTTTTACCTTTGGAAAATACTTAGTGTTTAACCTCTGGTAGTTCTCAGATGATCGCATGTTGGCAAGTTAAACTGAATCTGAGAGCAGCAGAGGGTGGTGAGGTCATGTCCTGACCTTTGAATCCTGGCTCTATCATTTGCTGGTTAGGTGACCTTGGGTTCATTACTTCTCTGGACCTCGTTTTTCATCTTTAAAAGGGTGGTTAAACCTTACTTCATCAGATTGTTGTGAGGATTGAATAACAGATATCCCTTTTCTTTCCTCAACCTCCTACCAAGGCCAGACTTGTTTTACTAGAATGCTTTCTAAAGAGACTGGTCCCAGGCTCAGCTTCTCCAGAGAACATCAGCAAATGCTGTCTCAGGGGAGGTCAATACCGAAAAGTCAATCTTGTATTAACTCAGGGTGTTGTATTTCCAGAGGCCAGAATCACTTCTCAGGGTTAGAAGGGTGGCCTTTTAGGCACCCACACAAACATCCAGGGTTCTAATGGGAAGGGCACATGCACTCTCTAATGAGCTTATGGTTGATCTTTTCTTCTCTTTTATTTATTAACTGGTAATATTTCTGAAGATTAGCCCTGAAATTTCTAATCTTCTCTACCTGGGAGTTAATTACTATCTATAAAGATAATGACTGCAAAATAAATCATTATTTTCCACTGTAATACTTCATGAGAACTTGAATTCTTTTTAAAATACAAAATGTTCACACCTGAATATGCTCTCCATATCTAAGCATAACTATCTTCTGCAGTACAGTGTGGCTCCAAAGAAATTTCTCCCTAAAACTGCTGATCATCTCTCTGTATTACTGGGCCCATCTCTGGCCTTTTGATTCTCTGCCCCTGACCCATATTTCTATTTTCAGGCTGGTTCTCCCAAACTGTTTAAGGTTCCTTTTCTCTATTGTCAGTAGCCACATCCATTCCATACTTGTCACGTTTCTTCCGAAATCATCTGTGTTAAATCTATCTTCTTTGTCCTCAAGTATAGTCTAGCACTAGACAAACACGTTTCTCCTCTTCTGGCTGCTCTAATCCAAACCTTAATCATTTTACAGTAGGGCAACAGCAGTAACCTTGCTGGCATCCCCTTCAGACCTATTCCACTCAGCAAAAGAACTTTTTTACTCAGATGTTATTCTGAACAGCAGTACTTTTGAATTCCATTAAACTAATGGTTGAAGACTAGGAGACACCCCTTCCTGGCCTCCATCTACCGGACTTCATTTTTCAACACTCTGGATCTAGGCTCACCAATACAGACAACTAAGTTTTCTCTCATCACTGTATAACACCCCGTCTCAGGCACTGACTTCAGAGCCAACGTGCTCTTAACCATTACACAAAACAGTAGTTAAGAACTTGGACCCTAGGGTTCTAGGTTGGAATACTTCCATTTCTCTTTATTTTTTTTTGTTTTATGCATATACGTTCTTTGGTTTATTTCTCCCCCCACCACCCACCCAACCCCTTTCCCTTTGAGGTTTGTCAGTCTAGCAATGAATTTGTGCTTCTTAATCCCTTCACCTTTTTCACCCATTCCGCCAACCCCCCTCCCAACTGACAACCAACAAAATGTTCTCTGTATCTATGAGAATGTTTCTTTCTTCCTGTTCATTTTGTTTGTAGATTCCATTGTTGATAGATATGTATTCATTGCCATTTTGTTTGTTCATACATTTTATCTTTTTCTTCAAAAAGACCCTTCATCATTTCATATAATAACGGTTTGGTAGTGATGAATTCCTTTAACTTTTTCTTGTCTGGGAAAGTTTTTATATGTCCATCGATTCTAAATGACAGCTTTGCAGGATAGAGTAATTTTGGTTGTAGGTTCTTGGTTTTCACCACTCTAAATATTTCTTGCCACTCCCTTCTGGCCTGCAAAGTTTCTTTTGAGAAATCAGCTGACAGCCTAATGGGAACTCCCTTGTAGGTAACTAGCTGCCTTTCTCTTGCTGCTTTTAAGATTCTCTCTTTGTCTTGAACCTTTTGCATTTTGATGATGATGTGTCTTGGTGTGGGCCTCTTGGGGTTGATCTTGTTTGGGACTCTCTGTGCTTCCTGGACTTGTATGTCTGTTTCCTTCACCAAGTTAGGAAAGTTTTCTGCCATTATTGTTTCGAATAGGTTCTCGATTTCTTGTTCTCTCTCTTCTCCTTCTGGCACCCGCAAGATGCTAATATTGGCACGCTTGAAGTTGTCCCAGAGGCTCCTTACACTATCCTTTTTTTTGGATTCTTTTTTCTTTTTGCTGTTCTGATTGGGCGTTTTTTGCTTCCTTATATTCCAAATCGATGGTTTGCTCCTTGGATTTACATACTCTATTATTGAAGCTGTGTAAATTATTCTTTATTTCAGTTAATGCCTCCTTCAATTCTAACTGTGTATCCATGATTTCTAACTGGTCCTTTTTTATGCTCTTGAGGCCCTCCCTAAGTTCACTGAGGTTCTCACTAAGTTCATTGAGCATCCTTATAAGCAGTATTCTGAACTCAGTATCTGTTGGGTTGCTTATCTCCATTTCGCTTAGTTCTTTTATTGGGGTTTTGTTCTGTTCTTTCATTTGGGACCTGTTTGTCTCCTCATTTTGGCTGCCTCCCTGTGTTTGTTTCAGTGTATTACTTAACGAGAGGTATGGGGCTCGCTGAAACCAGATGCTGCTCATTTGAAAGAATTTAGGAAAAACCTGAAGCAGGATCCAAGACCGGCCAATCCTATGGTTAAGCAAGTGGCAACAGCTTGGGTGGGCTTGAAAGTTGGGCGGGGCCTCAGGGAGTCACCAGGGCAGGGCTACCAGTGTGAGCCAGGTTGCTGGAGTCCCAGATATGGTGACTGTCTGCTGTCCCCGGGAAGCTCTCACCAAAGGAACAAAGGCCTCTGCCAGCACGTTTGTCCCCGAGAAAGCCCCTGCTCCAGCCCTCGCTCCAGTGCCAAACAGCTCAGTTCTTCCCTGTATGTCTTTGGCGCCCGTGGAGCTGCCTCCCCTCCGAGCTCAGAGGGAGAGAGTCCGATAAGTCCGTGCGCGGGCCCTTTAGGGAGCTGCCTGGGGCTCCAGCTGCTTCAGCCTCCCTGAGCCTCAGTTCCCGCTGGTTTTTCCAGCCAGAAGTTATGGGACTTCTCTTCCTGGCACTGGAACCCTGGGCAGGGCACCTGGTGTGGGATGGGGACCCCTCAGTCCTCAGGAAGGACCTTCCCAGCCGCGGGAGCCTCCTGATTTTTATCCGCCACACGTGGGTGTGGGACCAGCCAGTTGTGCCGCCGCTGCGGCCACTCGTGCCTCCGCCCCTCCTACCAGTCTGGATTAATTTCGTAGTTGTAGGACTTCCATTCAGCTTGATTTCAGGCAGTTTTGAATGATGGTTGTTCTGTAGTTTAGTTGTAACTTTGATGTGGTTGTGGGAGGACGCGATACCGCGTTTACCTACCAGCCATCTTGACCGGAAGTCCCGTTCCATTTCTTATTAGCTGTATTGTTCTGTGCCTCAAGCTCCATGTGGAAAGATAAGAACTGCACCAACAACAGTATCAACTAGCCTTAGAGGTTGTTGCAAGAATTAAATGATATAATCTATGTAAATCACTAAAGAAAATATAAGGTAAAGACAATGTCAGGCACAAAGTAAGCACTCAGGAAGCATTAACTGCTACCATGCTTCTACTATTATTGGCTCCTAACAAGAGGCCCAGGGTCTGGGACACAGTAGGTGGTCTGTACACTGAATCAGATATTCATTTTTGACTCTAAAATTACTGAAAATTAGTAAAGGGGACAGGTTTTAATCTGGGAAATTGACCTACCTTTAAATCTGAGTTGGCTGCAAATTTCTGTCCAATTAAAGCTGCATTTCCTCCTACATAGTGCTGTAAGATAGTTCAAGGTTATTAGACAGTATTTTAGCACAACTATGTTACTAAAGCTTAATAATTTTTAAAATTTGAATTTAGTCTATTTTTTTCCAAAAAAATGTGGTGACTTTATAAGGACACACAGGTGAAGCTAATAAAACATTAAACCCATAGGTTAATGGAACATGAGTTACAAGGAAAGGTAACCATGGATCAAAGTTGGCCTTGAGTTTCCAGGCAGCCAGAACAGATAAAGCAAACAGGACAAGTGTGCTCAGATCTTATCTTCTACACTGTAATCCTTCTGAGAATTTATGATCATGTCACTTTGCTCCTGAAAGTCATCCAATACTACAATAAACTAAAGTCCAATCCCTAAGTGACGCACAAAGGCCTTTCTTTATCTGCCCCTGCTCTCCTTTCCACCTTCCTCTCTGGTTGTTCACTTCCACACTGCAGTCTTGCCTGAGTGGAATGCTACCATCTTACCTTCCTAGTCCTAGGCACAGACTAAATAAATAGATTCTAGATGCTAGACATCTCTGATCCCAGGGTTTCTGTTAACTAATCACTGGGTTCCGGATAGACAGTAACAGCTTTCTATGGACAACTTTAAAACTTTCTGTGATATATAGGCTAAAATTTGGCCTTTAACATGTTAGCTTTAATTTTTTATTTAACTATGATGGCTAGAATTTACTAAATATCTTGGGAGAAATATTATGATTCTATGAAGTGGATTTTAGAGTTTTTGTGTAATAGTTACTAACTGCTGTTTATCAGTCAGTCTGCCTTAAGAGAATTTGAAAAGTCACCAAATGAAGTGTCACTCTAGTGGAAAATAAATAATACATTTTAGGTTTTACAATGTTAAGAAATAATTTGGATGATCTGAAAGCCAGGTAAGGTTTTGTAGAAAAAAATTTTTTGTTATGAAACAAAAGGCAGGATTAAGGCAGAGAGAATAGAATGGAAATCAAATTGGTGATTTAAATACACCATCATAAAGACTTCTAAGCAGCAGACTTGTCATCATGTTAGAACTATCAAGATTCTATCAAGAGATGAGAACCTCACTACTGAGCTCAGCTACAAAATGATTGTAACTGAAATTTTAACAGCTGCTGTCCCCTTTAGAAATACAGCTGGGTAATGCCCATGCCCATTTCTAATGTTCAAACAGGCAGCTTCAAAGGAAAAAAACAACTTTATTTACTTATTTTATTTTTTTTATCCTCACCTGAGGACATTTTTCCATTTTTTGTTCAGATAGAGTGGGAGGGACACACACACACAGAGAAACATTGACGTGAAAGGGACACATCGAGTGGCTGCCACCCGCATGACCAACCAGGGTCGGGGACAAACTGCCCTTAGTGGGAACCAAACCTGGGTCTCTCTGAACCACAGGCTGACGCTCTAACCAGTGAGCCAAACTGGCCAGGGCAAAAAAATCTTTAAAATCTTAAACGTTATCAAAATAAAAGTGGTCATAAAAAATAGCCTGTGAAAGGTAATGATTAAAAAGGGCATTAAGAGCTTCCCTAGTAAGAGTCACACCCAGACTGAAGTGACTAGACAAAGGAAGATTTTAGGTAAGAAGAATCAGGGATGAGATGGGGTGGGGTGGAGAGATGTTTAAACAAACAACCCAAACTCAACCACAAGAGGCATGAGGGCACATGTAGCAGTAGGTGTGCTGGGTCCCCATGGTTGGTTGAGTCTCCTGCCCCAGCACTGCTTCTTACTTGTTGTGCGCTTCATAGAAGTTGTCTGGGCCTTGCAGGCCCCAGAGCTTTGTTTATGATCACCAGATGGACTTGGGTGGGGGGGCTATCTCTGACATGTTCTACCTAGCAGACCAGTGATTCTCAAAACAATGCACTCAGAACAATAACATCAATATAACCAGGAATTACTGGAAGGGTAAATTCTTGGGTCCTATCCCACATACAATGAATCAGAAACTCTGGGGGCAGGGCTCAGAAATCTGTATTTTCAATACCCCGTCCACGATTGGGGAAAAGAGGGAGTGCTACTGTCCATCTAGTGGGTAGAGGCCAGAGATGACGTTCAACAACTTACATGCAGGAAATCTTCCACAACAAAGAACTGTCCAGCACCAAACATTAGTAGTGCTGAGGTGGAGAAACCTTGTTCGGGACCAGCAAAACAGAGGTGAGGCCCAGGCAAAGGCTGGAACTAGTTCCCTGTGGGTTTGGCCTTGTCTTCTGCTCAGGAAGGACTAGGCCATATTAAGATTACCACAAGTTATACCCAAGCAATACCCAAACCGGTTAGTAGATATCTTTCCTACCTTAAACTTGGGTAACATGCAATTTAAATGGATGAATCAGAACTAAAAGTTTAGTAAATATGCTTCATAAATGCTGTCTGAATTGATCTGATTAGAAACAGCAGTTAATGGAAGGTGAGATATACAGTTTTACAAAAGAGAAAACATGGCAGAACTAGATACCCAACAACTATCCCCTTGGGGCAAACTGGAGGAAAAAGTTGTTTGGTTGCCTCTATGAACCATACAAAAAAGCTTTCTTTCCCCACCCTATCTTAACTTACTACTGGTGAACCACACAGACCTGGGCTCCTGGGAAGTTGAACGCAACCTGGGCAATGTCATGGAAAGTTTCCTTATCGCTGAAGAAGCGCTCTGCAGCTGCTCCCTTCCCCATGAAGTGAGTGAAGGCTTCTTCCAGATCATTCCTTGAATGCAGGATGGAGTGATCTTTCCCATCCCCAGGATTCAGGCCAAGTGCCTGCAAGAGCTTCACCCCTGAGAGGACCACATCCACACATGCATTGACTCTAGAAGGAAGAGACGGTGAGAGAAATTAGCAGAAGCCTCAGGCAGCTGCTTTGTATTTAACAACAGGGACATGTTTCAGAGAACTGTATTCAAACAGTAAAACAAATGAAGTGGATCTGAAACATGAACTGAAAAGAACACACAGCAGAGGGAAAATTACTTTATCTGAATGTATGCCTTAGGATCAGAACATAGGATTCTTCAGTAGTTTGGCAAACTTCTATACTAGTTACAAAGAGAGAACGTTTATACTAGTTACACAGGTGCTCAGCATTCAGAACAGATCTATGATAACACAAATATAGCATTTCTGAGAAAATGTTAGTGGAGCCAAACCGGATTCACACTGGCTGCGTGACTTAGGCAAGTCACTTTAATTTTTCTGTCTCAGTTTGCTCATCTATAAAATGGCATGAGTATTTAACTCATGTTGATGTTAGAGTAGGCAGATAGAAAGATATGAGCTGAGAAAGGCAGGTGGGGCTTGGATAGAATATGTGTGAGACATGACAAACCAAAAATAGACAATGGAGGCAACAGACCCCAAAGGAAGGAGGAAAAATTTAGAGCCTCTCCAGGATGTGGTCTAACTGGTGGTGTAACACCCAGGTGAAAGAGCCTTAGAGTTTAAAGATATATATTTTTTTGAGACATGGGGGAGGGGGACTTGCTCCTTGCCTAAGGCTTTCCTGCCTAGGGGTATAAATCCTCTGAACTCCCAAATATCGGGCACTTGGTTTGGTTTTGGCTGGCTGAGTTACCCACTCAGGTTTTAAGTGTACTTCTTTCCTACAAATAAATCCTTGCCTGCTTTTGCTGCTATTTATTATCTCTTATTTGAATTCATTCCTACAAGCAAGACAAGAACTGGGGGCACAGAGTACTGTCTCTGGCCAGAGACCCCCTTGACCACCACTGACATCTTGGTGCTGTACTCGGATTTCAGATTTCAAAACTGTAAGTCCTCTGATCCAAAGGTCAGAGAAGAGGCTGTTTTAGTGGTGCTTTCTGTCCAGGATCAGGAGAGCAAGGCGGTAATTGTGGTTAACTGGGGAGGAACAACTGTGAGTGCCTGGCAATGAACTGGCACCGCTTTCCTCTGGTCTGTGCAGACAGACACTCTCAGGTGACTGAGGATCTTTAAGGGGGTGTCCGAGGGTCCGCCTCTTGATGTGTAAGGGCCTCATAAGGACTCCAGAATACACTTGTAATTACGCTTTGGCCTGTCCGGGGAGTGCATTTAAGGCTTGGTCACCCAGCACTCTGGGTCCTTCCAGGTGTTTTAAATGGCAGGCAAGAGAAACTGAGGCACATAAGAAGAGTGGGGATTGTTAGCTCTAATTTCCATATTACTGCCCCAAGCTTCTTAAATCTTTTACTTTCATATTGATGCTCCAAGCCTCTTATCCTTTAACGTTGCCCTAAGCCCCTTTGAAATAATGTATGGAAGGCCCTTTGTCCTAGACTCCAGTCCTCTAACTGGCCCTGAATCGCCTTCGGAGATTACTTCCCAGCATTGTCTTATATGAGGTCCAAATTACACTCAGAGGTAAATAAACTCCTACCTCAACCTTTTTCTACCAAAAGGTTTACCTCACCCTACTGCCAGGAGATCAGGTATATAAACGAACCCGGGGAAACACACCTCTCCAGCCAGTCTGGACCGGCCCATACACAGTCATTCTCTCCACTCCCACGGCGGTCAAAATTGAAGGGGACTCTCACTGGACACATCTCTCACATATCAAACCATACACTCCACAGAGTCCTAAAAATTATTTCTCCACACCCACAGGTCCTCTATCCCTCAAAATTTCCTCATGTCCACCGATTATAGAAGAACATGACCAGACTATCTTGTGAGACTCGCTTGAGACAACATGCTCACTCACAACTTACACTATAACCAACACTATCAACTAACAATGCACAACCTCTACCTTGCAAGATTTTTTTATTTTCTCACTCAGATTTTGGAAGACATCGCCTGGTTCAGGCCCCGCAGCTCTAATATAGACGACCTCCTCACCTGGATCCAAGACCTCTTCTGGCAAGGAGCCCTTCGAGGTTTTACACCCTTGGAGACCGACTTCTACACCTTCCTCCTCCTCTTTCTTCCCATTTAACATGTTTTCCCTACTTCTTTCTCTTGCCCTCTTCACATCTCTTCCTCTGACCTCAAGGCCCAAACCCTACGTTTGGCAGTTCTTTCTTAATATATCCTCCACCCAGCCTCTTTACCAAATAATCACCTCCACAGACTGCCCCCCTCACTGGCTGCTCATCAACCATCACAATTACTCCCAACTCTGACAAAACACAACCATTCAAAGGAATGGAGCTTTGCGCCCCCTCTTCCATATACCTCGCCCTCCAAAATAGCTATATACTAGCCGCCACATGTCCTAAAAGAGACAACAGGCATATAAAAACACCCACCGGCCCCTGGACTTTCTCCATTTCTGACCCCTGGGACTATAAGTAGGAACGTGGCCCAAAAGGAAACCCTTATCAAGGGATGGACCAAATACCACACAATCATCAGCCGGAAATATGTCCCGCAAAAAACATCTTTCCAGAAACTAGAAGACCTCACCCACAAAGTCTTAGCCCAGAAAACTTCCCTAACTGAACACCTTTCTAACAAACGAACCCCATTTTCATGGCTAAATCAAATAAAAAAGGGAGTCCAAATTCTAAACCTAACCCAGGAAGTCGAGCCCTCTCAATGCTTCCTTTGTGCCTTCCTGGATCGACCACCCATGGCTGCAATCCCGCTCTCATACCCTCTAAACATTTCTAAAACCTGCTCTGCCTCCTCATTCTCCCTAGACCACGTGCCCTTATACACCCCAAATAACACCTATAATCTATTCTACTATAAGGACATCTCCCACCTGACATGCAATCAGTTTTTAAAGGTTTGTATGTGGGCTAGATATTATTTACAACACTCAAATAAGGCTTACAAAAACAAGGAAGAGACACGTCCCTCCTAATGACACAAACTGATTGCATTCTCATCGTAAGAATTCTTTTATTAATTCTTCCCCTATGGATCTCGTGTTTTTAAAAAGATGTTTGCCTACAAAAATTTAAACATTTAAATACTCAAAATTTCTTATTCTTTGAAAATCAAAGGTACATAATTAATCTGGTAAACTGGAAAGGCTCTAAGCTTTAGCATGCCTTTTAGAACGTAAAAACACATCGACATGCATGTGGCAGCTGCTAAACAATATGTTTAAAACATTCTTTTCACAGTTTTATATAATAAATCAAACACACCATGTAAACTCATCCCAATTCCACCTCATACAGTATCCTCTATTTCTACGAATGCAGCATTAGATGCCTGAAGGGTAGAACCTTGATAGGAATACAGGTATCCCTGGATCTCAGACTTGAGTAGGTTTGAGAGTTTCAGACAGTAAGAGTTTATTTAGATAGTGAGGGAGTTCTATCCAGAAAATGTATCCAAGTGGATTTGGGTTCTGAGTCTGGATAGGAAAAATTCAGATACTAAGAGATACCCATATATGGAAATAATGACTTCAGTAAACACATCACCTTCATATCTAGTTCTGCTGAGACCTTCAAGTTTGATTATTCAAAGATGTTAATGGAGGAAACTGAGTTTACAAAAGTTACAAAAAGAAAAAAAATCTGAAAGAACAATGCTCAGCATATTTTGCAACACAAGGAAAACACAATAGGACTAATTTTGAGTTAAAAAATGCAATTACCATAATAACACTTTTCATTGCCCTCCCTAATCATGTCATGAATACTAGGGGGAAAATAATCTTATAGAGGGAAACTTAGTATTTGGTAGCCTACAAAAATAAAAAAATCACTGACATCTACTATGTGCCAGATACCAAACTCGGTACTTTTACATGTGCTGTCTAGTTATATATTATCAAACTTTAACCAGAGCAGGAATCTTTCTCTGCACTTACCTCATTCAACAGCATACTAAAATGTAAACAAGTACATCAAGTACAGGTTAAGGTGCTTTATTATCAGGGGAAATAAAGGGAAGGAGGGGACAAAAGAATCAGAAGACAAAATTATGCTTACGTGATTTGGAATTTCACACTTTAGTAAGAAATATATAAAAGATTACAATGTGAGTTTGAAGAAAACAGACACAGATGAAATAACTGGAAAAATAAAAGCAAGGCAACAAATGCTGAATGGCCAAATAAGAGGCTAATGGGGTAAGCAGAGAGGGAGCTGGAACCTGGGCTTCCTTGCCTATTATTAGAGACGGGTTGTGGGCAGGGAAGGGGGCACAGTTCTCCCTTCTAGACTGTAAGTTCCTTAAAGGCAAGAACAGTGGTTCTTATCACTTCCCTATTGTTTCACTTTCTGTAAAATGTTTCCTAGGGTTCTTTTTAGCTGTAACACCCCACCTGACATATTATAAGAGCTAATCAGCCTGGCCAGTGTGGCTCAGTGGATTGAACATTGTCCCATGGACTGAGAGGTCCTGGTTCAGTTCCGGGTCGGGGCAAATGCCCGGGTTTCGGCTTCATCACCAGTAGGGGGCATGCAGGAGGCAGCCAATAAATATTTCTCACATAGATGTTTCTCTGTCTCCAAAAAGTCAATAAAAAAACAAGAGCTAATCACAATCACTACAAGATTCTGAAGTGTAGAAATCTGAAAGGGCAGAGGCAACAGTCCTAGGGCTGAACCCTGGATGGGGCTCTGGAGAAAGAAGGCAGGCATTTTCAGATAGATCACACAAATGTGCAAACGTCTTAAGACAGGAAAGTAGTCATCCGATGAGAAAAGTGAGTCCTCTAACATTCCAAAGGCTCTGACTGGAGGAGCCCATTTCAAATCCAGATTTATCTGACACTGAGGCCCATGAAGAAAGCACACACAAGCAAAGATGTGAATGAAGGGGTTAACCTGTGTGGGGACACAATAAGAATGCTGATCTATTGTGGAATGGAGCATTTGAACAGGGGAGAAGAGCAAGATAGGCTTCAAAGGTCACGGTGAAGCCAGGTATTGGGGAACATAAACTGTTCCCAAGGATGAGGGGTTCATCATTCACCCAGAGTCTTAGGTACTAGGGTCTGATTTGAGGCTGGGAGGTGGAACACGTTCTAGAAAGATGTGGTGGTGGGCTTGGCACTGTTTTCTTGAAAATCCTCCTATCTTTTATCTCTGGTCGCTATCCACCAACCCCTTACATGCCAGTGCCTCCCCATATGCCACCCTCCTTTACCCTCCTTGTTCTCTTCCTGGGTGATGCTACTGACTTTCTGGCTTCAACCCGAGTTTCAACATCTCCAAAATCTGCAACCAATACTGCTCCTAACTCCAGCCTCTTAGAGTCAGCAGCTGTGGCTGTTTCACCTGAAATCCCACATGTACATTTCCCCTCCTCTGAAATCAAACTGGTTACCTTCCACCACAAACTTGCTCCTTCTTCTTAATCTCTTAATGGCAATAATGTGGCATGAACATGGAGCCAGGAATGGGTTTGAGTTGGGCCTCCAGCACTTGCTAACTGTGGTCTTGGGCAAATCAATGTTTCTAAGCCTCAGTTTACTTATCTGTAAAAACTGGATGACAATATCTGTACCTGCCTACAGAAGATTGCTGTAATATCCCAAACACTAAAAATCTGTCATTTTTGACAGCCTTTCTTTACTCTAGCATGTTCAACCTATCAAATCTCATGTTTGGCACCATTGCCAAGAAAGAAAAGGCTCTTTTCTCCCTTCATGCAGACCATATAATGGCCTCCTAACTAGCATCAGGGGTTCAGTACTTTCCTCCTCATGAATCACATTGTGTGTTGTATGTGGAAGTAAATGTACTTGAGAGTCAAACTACAACACACACCCCAAATGGGATTCTGAACGAAGGGGTTAGCCTTGTACCTTCTCCCACCTGCCCCTTGCACATCCCTATCTTCAGGCTAAAAGTCCCTTTGAGTAAAAGAAATGTTACCAATGATTGTCTGTTACCCATAAAAATTATGTGAAACAGTCAAATAGGTTAGAATGACTGCTCAAAATCCACCTTTCACATTCCCATTACTCTTAGCAAAGAACTTGGCATCATTTAACTGATAAACCCATTACCTACCTTGATATTAAAGGCCCTCCTTGGCATCATTTCTTGACATCTCTCTACCATAAGGTCCTTGCCCTAAACACAGGGACAACTCACTGGTCCCAAACTATGTACTTTTTCACATTTGGTTCTCTCTGCCTAGGTGGACTCATCACCCCTCACCCCCATCTTCAATATGGAGAAATCCCACATCTTCTCCAGGGCCTATCCCATTCAAGTCTCTGCAGCAGAATATATTTTCTAAGATGACCACAACTGTGTCATGATACGTAGCCTTCTGTAGTTTACTTTTTCCACAAGATATTGATAGGCCTGGCCAGTGTTGCTCACTGGTTGAGCATCAACCAATGCACCAAGAGGTTGCCAGTTCAATTCCCAGTCAGGGACATGCCCACATAGTGGGCCAAATTCCCAGTGTGGGGCATGCAAGAGGTGGCCAATTGATGTTCTCTCTCTTTAAAATCAATAAAGAAAAAAAAAATTACAAAGATATTGATAAATTAAGTTTTTAAATTTTATTTTAACTGCTATGACTTGTATGACTGTACAAGTTTATTCATGCATTTTCCTGTTTTTAGCCGAGATAAAAGCAGATATTGAATTTTTGCTACTATAAACAATGCTTTAATTAGAAAAAAAAAAGGTGTCCCATTCCATGTTCTTTTTTACAATGTGATACTGACACTCTTCCCATCAATATGTGTTCTATGTCCCCTCCCCTTAAAACCAGTTGGAACTGGGACTATGGTAGAAGTGATACTATGTGCTTCTAAGGGTTAGGTCATAAAAGGTATTAAGGCCCTGCCTCAGTTCTTTTGGGACATTATGTCTCCTAACTCAGCCACCCTGTTGGCTACATAGAGCACCCGTTGGTATTCAGGTGAAAACCCGTGGCTGTAGTTGACAACCGCAAACAACCTTCATGATGATTCCCATCCCCGCCACCATTTGACAGAAACTGCACAAAACCTCAAATGAGAATGAACTGCCTGGCTGAGCCCAGTCAAATCTCATAATCATAAGAGATGATAAAATAAAATGACCATGTTTTAAGCTACTAAGTTTTGGGGTGTTTTGTGATGTAGCAATAGTAAATACAATATCACTTTTTCAGATGGAGCGCTTCTTCTTCTTGAAATGTCAACCTAGGAATAACTAGTAATACTTCTTTGGGATACAGGGTAACCTGTTTCTACTACTGCTTCAGCACAAAACACTTTTCATAATTGTTATGGACAGCACCATGTCATTCCTCACCCCTCTCCCAATTCATATGTTGCAGCCCTAACCACAAATATGACTATATTTGGAGATAGAAACTATTTGAGGAAGTACTGTAATTAAGGTTAAATGAGGCCATAATTCAACAGGACTAGTGTCCGTATAAGAAGAGATGACATCAGGAGTGCCCATGCACAGAGGAAAGGCCATAAAAGTACATAGCAAGAAGGCAGCCATCTGCAAGTCAGGAAGAGGACACACCAGTAACCAACCTTGCAAGCACCTTGACCATGGCCCATCAGCCTCTAGACCTGTGAAAAAATAAGTTTCTGTTGTTTAAGCACCTAGTCTGTGGTATTGTAACGGTAGCCCAAGCAGACTAATATAATAATGAATATGTTTCCAACAAATGAGGCAAGGGCCTTGCTTCATCCATCTCTGTATCCTCTGAAACTAGTGTGGACCTGATACATACCACACAGATGATGAATATGTTGAATGAATGTGCATAAGCCAGAGAGGCCAATGAAGCTAAGGAAGTGGGTGAAAGGGCCCAAATTTGAAAAAAGAGGTAAAAGTTGATACATCCTAATAAATAATAAATGTGCTAACTGAACCCTGGCCGGTTTGGCTCAGGGGTTGGAGTGTTGACCCACGGACCAAAGAGTCGGGGGTTTGATTTCAGCCAAGGGCAGTACCTTGGTTACAGTTTGCCTGGGGCCCTGGTTGCGGTTCTGCGAGAGGCAGCCAATCAATGGGTCCCTTTCACACCGAGGTTTCTCTCTCTCTTCCTCTCTCTCCCTCCCACTCTATCTGAACAAAAATGGGGAAATGTCCTCATGTGAGGATTAAAAAAAATAATAAATGTGCTAATAAATGTGCTGATATTAAAAATACTAGCTAACATTTGAGTGCTCTTTAAAGTAGACACCATACTAGATTACATAGATTATTTAATCTTCAGGATAATTTTGCTCTACTTTACCCTTCCTGGACCCAACAATCACACAAACTAATAGACCACTTGGTGGAAGACCACTGGTTTTCTATGGTGCTTTTTTTTTTTTTTTATCCTCACCCGAGGACATTTTTCCATTTTTTGTTCATGTAGAGTGGGAGAGAGAGAAAGAAAGAAACATCGATGTGAAAAGAACAAATCGAGTGGCTGCCACCTGCACGACTGACCAGAGCCGGGGACAAACTGCAACTAAGGTACATGCCCTTAGCGGGAACCGAACCCGGGTCTCTCAGGACCGCAGGCCGATGCTTTAACCGCTGAGCCAAACTGGCCAGGGCTCTATGGTGCTTTTGAGATGATGGCAAGATATTCAAGTTGAACTGAGGCAGGAAAGGAAATAATTACATCCCTAGAGAGGAATACAAAGAAAGGAGGCACTGTGACTTGGGAGAACCCTAAATATGCAATATCACTTAGTTGTTAAGAAATGAGTTTCAAGGAGAAGGTCACGTGTAACTCATGGAAAGCTGCATAGTCGATAATGGAGACTAAAAAATGGCAGCAGAATCTAAAAATCAACAAATCACCAGTGAACTTTGAGAGAGGAGTTCCAGTGAAGTGGTGGTCTCCAACCCACGGCGTTAAGGAAGGGGACGCAAGGCCTAAAGAAATAAAGTCGGTAGGTAAAAGTAGCGACCACTCAACTCCTTCAAGAAGTTCAGAAGCAAGAGGAATAAGAGTGCCGTCAAAGTGGGTAAGACCAAGCATTTGGACTGCAAAATAGCAGTCGCCAGAGGAGCAGAAAGACCTGAAAGTGGAATGAGGGAGGGTGAGCAGAATTTCCAAGAGGCTATTAGGCTGGAACTACCGAGACCAGCCAAGAGAAAAACAGCAGCCTGGTGAATCCCTGCAGCACTGACAAAAGGGGCTGGTTGCAGACGTCCGACGCTTGTCGCCAAGGTGGCAGCCAGGAAAAGCGCCGAGGGGCCTCCCGGGGACCTCTGGGAACCCCGTTTCGTGCGGGCTCCAATTTCCCAGCTCCCAAGCTGCCCGACCTCCGCCAAGGCACCCTCGGAGGCCCGGAACGCCCGCAATTCTTGGACAGGCCCAGAGATGCAGGCCCCAAGGCACTCACCCCACGGCCACGCGGCGCCAACGCCGGGAAGGCCGCACGATGAGTGCGTCCCAGGCGGCCGCCAACCGGCCCTCAGGGGAGCCGGGTCCGTGGGACGCAGGCCCAAGCTGCAACGAGCTCCGCAGGGAGCACAGCACCGAGTTCGGCAGATGCGGCTCCAGCAAGAAGACGCAGCCCACCGCCAGCGCCACAAAACCCGCGTAGACAGAACCGCGCCACAGCGCCATGGGGACCGAGACACACAAACGTAGCCGCCGGATTCTGCTCCCGACCCGCGCCTGTTCCGCGCTCCGCGTGCGCTGACGTTGACAGGGGCCTCACGTCACACCGGCGCGCCATTGGCCCCCGAGGGGGCGGGGCTCCGGGCGGGACCGGGCGGGGAACTCTTTTCCTTTCCTTTTCTTTTTTTTAAATCTTTATTGTTGAGTGCATTACAGATGTTCCTCATTTTACCCCCACTGACCCCCTCCTCCCCCCTCCCGCCCCCTCCCGCCTTTTCCCACACTATTGTCTGTGTCCATTGGTTATGCATATAAGTTCTTTGGTTTATTTCTTCCCATCCCCCAAACCTTTTCCCTTTGAGGTTTGTCAGTCCAGCAATGAATTTGTACTTCTTAATCTCTTCACCCTTTTCACCCATTCCCCCAACCCCCCTCCCAACTGGCAACCAACAAAATGCTCTCTGTATCTATGAGAATGTTTCTGTTCTGCCTGCTCATTTTGTTTGTAGATTCCATTGTTCATAGATATGTATTCATTGCCATTTTGTTTGTTCATATATTTATCTTTTTCTTCACAAAGACCCTTCATCATTTCATATAATAACAATTTGGTGGTGATGAACTCCTTTAACTGTTTCTTGTGTGGGAAAGTCTTTATATGGCCATCGATTCTAAATAACAGCTTTGCAGGATAAAGTAATCTTGGTTGTAGGTTCTTGGTTTTCATCACTCTGAATATTTCTTGCCACTCCCTTCTGGCCTGCAAAGTTTCTTTTGAGAAATCAGCTGACAGTCTTATGGGAACTCCCTTGTAGGTAACTAACTGCTTTTAAGATTCTCTCTTTGTCCTGAACCTTTTGCATTTTGATGATGATGTGTCTTGGTGTGGGCCTCTTGGGGTTGATCTTGTTTGGGACTCTCTGTGCTTCCTGGACTTGTATGTCTGTTTCCTTCACCAAGTTAGGAAAGTTTTCTGCCATTATTGTTTCAAACAGGTTTTTGATTTCTTGTTCTCGCTCTTCTCCTTCTGGCACCCCCAAGATGCGAATGTTGGCATGCTTGATTGTCCCAGAGGCTCCTTACACTATCCTCATTTTTTTGGATTCTTTTTTCTTTTTGCTGTTCTGATTGGGCGTTTTTTGCTTCCTTATATTCCAAATCGATGATTTGCTCCTTGGATTTACGTACTCTATTATTGAAGCTGTGTAAATTATTCTTCATTTCAGTTAATGCCTCCTTCAATTCTAACTGTGTATCCATGATTTCTAACTGGTTCTTTTTTATGCTCTTGAGTCCCTCCTTAAGTTCACTGAGGTTCTCACTAAGTTTATTGAGCATTCTTATAAGCAGTATTCTGAACTCAGTATCTGTTAGGTTGCTTACCTCCATTTCGCTTAGTTCTTTTATTGGGGTTTTGTTCTGTTCTTTCATTTGGGACCTGTTTCTTTGACTCCTCATTTTGGCTGCCTCCCTGTGTTTGTTTCAGTGTATTACTTAACGAGAGGTATGGGGCTATCTGAGACCAGATGCTGCTTGTTTGAAAGAATTTAGGAAAACCTGAAGCAGGATTCAAGACAGGCCAATCCTATGGTAAGGCAATTGGCAACAGCTTGGGTCAGCCTGAAAGTTGGGTGGGGCAAGGCCTCAGGGAATCAACAGGGTGGGGCTACCAGTGTGAGCCAGGTTGCTGGAGTCCCAGATATAGTGACTGTCTGCTGTTCCCGGGAAGGGCTCACCAAAGGAACAAAGGCCTCTGCCAGCACGTTTGTCCCCGAGAAAGCCCCCTCTCCAGCCCTCGCTCCAGTGCCAAACAGATCAGTTCTTCCCTGTATGTCTCTGGTGCCCCTCGAGCTGCCTCCGCTCCAAGCTTAGAGGGAGAGAGTCCAATAAGTCCATGCACGGGCCCTTTAAGGAGCTGCCTGGGGCTCCAGCCGCCTCAGCCTCCCTGAGCCTCATTTCCCACTGGTTTTTCCAGCCAGAAGTTATGGGGACTTCTCTTCCTGGCACTGGAACCCTGAGCGGGGTGTCTGGTGTGGGACAGGGACCTCTCAGTCCTCAGGGAGGACCTTCCCAGCCGAGGTGTCCTCCTGATTTTTATCCGCCACTGGTGGGTGTGGGACCAGCCCATCTGCCTCCACCCCTCCTACCAGTCTGGATGTGGCTGCTGCTTTAATTCCGTAGTTGTAGGACTTCCATTCAGCTTGATTTCAGGCAGTTTTGAATGATGGTTGTTCTGTAGTTTAGTTGTAACTTTGATGTGGTTGTGGAGGACGCGATACCGCGTTGACCTACCCGCCATCTTGACCGGAAGTCCTCTTTTCCTTCTTTCAAATCCTGGCCACTTACCTGTGCAGTTTCCCTGCTCTTAAGTAGGTGGACAAAGGCTGTAATGCTAGCTGGGTGGTATATCCCTTCCTGGAACTCCAAACATACTCCAAAATAGAGGAGCTAGCCCCACAGGTGTGGCTCAGTGGTTGAGCATCACCCATGCACCAAGAGGTCGCAGGTTCCATTTTGGCCAGGACACATGCCCAGGTTGTGGGCCCAGTCCCTAGTTGGAGGCAGGCAGGAGGCAGCTAATCGATGTTCTCTCTCATGGATGTTTCTCTTGCTCTCTCTCTCTAATAATATCAATAAAGAAAATAAAAATAAAAATAAAATAAATGAAGAAAAGATATTAAAAATAAATAAAAATAAACCTGTCTCTTAAAAAATAAAATAAGACTTCCGGTCAAGATGGCGGCATAGGTAAATGCGGTGTTGCGTCCTCCCACAACCACATCAAAGTTACAACTAAACTACAGAACAACCATCATTCAAAACCGCGTGATATCAAGTTGAATGGAAGTCCTACAACTACGGAATTAAAGCAGCAGCCACATCCAGACTGGTAGGAGGGGCGGAGGTGCGAGGGGCGGGGCGGCGGCAGTGGCGGCGCCACGCGCTCGTCCCACACCCATGTGTGGTGGATAAAAATCGGGAGGATACCTCGGCTGGGAAGGTCCTCCCTGAGGACTGAGGGGTCCCTGTCCCACACCAGAAACCCCGCTCAGGGTTCCAGTGCCAGGAAGAGAATCCCCATAACTTCTGGCTGGAAAAACCAGCGGGAACTGAGGCTCAGGGAGGCTGAGGTGGCTGGAGCCCCAGGCAGCTCCTTAAAGGGCTCGTGCACGGACTTATCGGACTCTCTCCCTCTAAGCTTGGAGGGGAGGCAGCTCGAGGGGCGCCAGAGACATACAGGGAAGAACTGATCTGTTTGGCACTGGAGTGAGGGCTGGAGAGGGGGGCTTTCTCCGGGACAAACGTGCTGGCAGAGGCCTTTGTTCC